ACTAGAAGTTTAGACTAGAAGAAAAAAAAACTGGGGTATAAGAGGTGAGGAGAGTAAACTTTGCAAGGTTTAAAAATAAACAACAATAAGCTAGTGGAAGAGATGTTCTTTGTACCCACAGAGGACAGAATGAAAATTATACTCAAACTGCAGCAAGGGAGCTTTAGCCATAAGGAGAAATTTTCTGTTCTACCACAGATTATTAGACGATTGTGTGATTCCTACCTCATGAGGCTCTTTAGAGAAAAGCAAGCATTTTTTGGATTGTTAGGTGATCCAACTTCCTAATGTTTCTCTAGGCTGCATGAAACCATGATACAGATCTGAGGGATGAGCTAGGGCATAGCCAACCATACAATAGGTGACATTTTTACACTTTTGCTAAACTCAGACTTCCCAAATATGTAGTTCTTGCCTGCCTCAGCATCTCCTTGAAAAGCAGAAAGGAAATTAAGATAACACTGGGCTATATAGATGTGTTAACATTAGAATGAGAATGGGAGCTGTGACATTTCATGAACATTGGCAGTCCAAACATAGAACCATATTGTATAACATTTGGATGGGATTCCCCATCTTTTTTTTTCTTTCCAAGAGTCAGTGAATAAAGGGAGAAGGCAAGAAGGGAGATATAGGGAGAATGAAAAGGATGAAAAGGAAAAGGTGAACAGAAATGGAAAAAAATCTCCATCTGGAACCTCAACTAATATGAAATGGTACCCTATCAAATTAGGCAAACTGGGAACACAATAAAACATGGTCTAAACATTTTCTGACACGATAAGCAAGGCTTTTATCTCTCACTGCAGATGAGAGGAGGGCAAGGTGAATGTGAAGTCAGTAAGTCCAGCTTAGTCTCTAATCATCTTCAGAATGAGAAAATATAGGTCTCCATGATTCTTGACCCCACAGCTCATAATATTTTAAAATTAATGAGCCAATAGCTCAGTCCCAAGTAAAACCTCTGCAGGTTGCACTGAAAGGTAAAGAGAAACTGTTTTTTACACATTGAAGAAGAAAAAAAGTTGATTTAGTTAGTGGATAAAGGGCTGTAAGACATGGGTTCAAATCTGTCCCCTAACACACTCTAGCTGTTGGACCGTGGGCAAGTCATTTAAACTCTTAGTATCTAAATCAGCTCTCTAAGATGACTAATTATAGATGACTTGCTGATAGGCATCCCTAATGGGAATTGCCAGATGAAGAAGTGATCCTCATTGTCAAGTTCAATCCATCTACATGGATTCTTGATGCCATCCCCTCCTATCTTCTCCAACAGATTGTCCCTACTATCATCCTCCTTCCAACTAACAGTCAATTTCTCCTTATTTGTCTCCCTCATAGTATATATATATATATAAATTAAGAACACCTCTTACTACATCTTACTATCCCTACTAGTCATCATCCTCTCCCTTTCTTCCATTACTCAGCTAAATTACTGAAAATAGTGTCTAGATTCAGTGCCTCCATTTCTTTGGTCCAGCCACACCAATTGACTAGCTGATCCTCACACTCAACATTCTATCTACCATTTCTGTAGCACTAGGGCTGTGGCAGTTTTGTACTATGGCAAAATAATGCATAAGACTATCAATGAAGTAATTTTTTCTCTTAAAAATCCAAGGAAGTCTGCTTTAAGTTTTGTTAAATTTGTGTTATTTTAGAGTTGGCACTGGCGTGGCTATATCTATCATACCTGCAGTGCTCCCTTTACCCACCTCATCCTTAGAGAATCCCTGGCATCTTTCAAGACTCAGCTCAAAGATCACCTTTCCCAGTACCCCCATTGGCTACTGCCTCCCATTCTTAGGTAATCTTCCATATATCTGTATGTATTTTGTACATAACTACATATGTATACTTTTCCCTCTTTTTCATATCCCCAATGTTTCATAAAGTACGAGAATATGATAAGCACTTAAAAAAAAGTAAGTTAATTATTTGACGGTTTTGGATTCCCTCACCAAGCACTCCCTATAGGGATGAAATCATCAGCCTACAACTACTCTTTGAAAACAAAAACAAAACAAAACAACAGCTAATAAGACATTAATCACCTCTTAGTCATTGGATCACAGAAGATGGAGCTAGAAGGGCCTTAGGTATCATCTGGTCATTTTATGTAGGAAGATTTACTGAGACCCTTGAGGGTTAAATGCCTGGACCAATTTTACCTAACTAGTAAAGTTTATGGTAATATTTTGCCTCTCCCTCCAAGTCACTGGGCATTTGTGTTGACAGACAAACTCTATGAAGGGGAACCCTATTTCTTCTTTTCCTGTAATAAACTTCCAAGACCACAAAATAATATCCAATCCCACATTCTGAACTCATATAACATTGTATATGTCCCATGCCATTTTCACGCATTTGTGTGTGTGTGTGTGTGTGTGTGTGTGTGTGTGTGTGTGTGTGTGTGTATTACAGCTTTTTGGGTATGAGTGCAAGGACTCTTTCGTGTTGTTATTGTTCAGCTGTTTCAGTCATGTCTTAATCTTCATGATCCTTTTTGGGATTTTCTTGGCATAGATACTGGGATGGTTTGCCATTTTCTTCTCTAGCTTATTTTACAGATAAGAAAATGGAGGTAAACAGGGTTAAGTGACTTGCCCAGGGTCACACAACTAGTAAGTGTCTGAGGCTGGATTTGAATGCAGGTCTTCCCAATTCCAGACATGGCACTCTGTCCACTGTGCCACCTAGCTGCCCCTTGATATAGTAAGGACTCTAACTCATCTCTGCTTTGCATATTTTTCCCATTTTGAGCACAGTGCTTTATACATGGGCCTGCTGAATTTGATCACAGTTCAAAAGTATCCCTTGCTGGGAAAGTTTCCTTCCTGGGACGCAGGATGACCTGGAAGGAGGAGGGGCCCATTTGGTTTGGAAATAAGGGGTATCAAAGAAATAGATGGCTGGTGGAATTAAGGAATCTATTTCTCAAAGCCTGGGGGCTGGATTAGGCAGCCAGATGGCTACACTTGGTCGAGGTCAAAGTTAAGAAACTGAGAGGCTCATACTTGACTTTCCTTATTTGTAGTGCTATTTGAGAACATGCAGCAGCAAGGGGAATGAACCTTGGGAGGTTGTGTAGTTGGGTGATGAAACCAGTGGATCTAGAGTCAGAACAACTGAGTTAAATCTCTGTTCTTCATTTTATTTGACTTTCAGCAAAGCATTGTTTTATTCTGCAAAATGAGGTCAGTGGACTAGCTGATCTCTAAGGTTGCTTCCAGCTCTGAGTTCCTTCCATCTTCTTGAGGGATAAATCCAGAGAGGAAGGCTGAGACAGCAGGGACCTCAAGTACTAGGAAGAAAGCTAATCTACTGTGGTAGTGGTGGTTGTTGGTGATTGGACCAAAGACCTCACAAGGGTGGTCTTGACTTGTGAGTGAATTGGATTTACCTGAGGCAGAGCTGTGCAAAATTCTCAGCTTCACTATCTTCTTCAGAGTTATAGAAGTCCAGTGGCAAAAGTCAAAATGAAACAACTAGCAATGGTCTGGGATACCTGGATCAGATGGAGGGCTTTCAGGGAGTCAACAAAGCCATGCATGACTAAATGACTCACCTGTCTCCTTGCCAGAAGAGTCTATTTAATTTAAGTAGTGTGGGGCTATGTCTTGGCTCCTATTTTTCACAATACATATCCATGTTTATGCAAATATGTATTTATGTAAATCTCTTTATTTATACACATATGTATTATATGCAGATATGCCCATAAATGTATTCATACATGTGTATATATGTATATGCATACATGTGATTGATATACACATAGGGAAGGGGAAGGCAATTCAGCAACTTTTCGGTACTTAACTCTATGGCAGGCACCATACTGAATGCTTTTCAGTATTATCTCCTTTGATCCAATGATACAAGTTAATATTTGTAAAAGTTTTGCACAGTGCCTGGCACACAATGAGTACCTAATGAAAGATTGTCTTCATCCACCTCTTCCTCATACACAGAAATGTATAAATTCATCTGGAACCATAATTTCATTGATTTGGAGAACTCTTGTCCCTGAAGCAAGAACTCATCTGTAACTTTTCTATGAGGTCCCAGTCCTTGGGGCATGAACATACACTCTCTGCCTACTGCCAGTCCAACATGTGGAACTTTGAAAACTGGTTTTAGTCCTGATTGCTTAGAGGTTAGTATTGTTTTGTGGCAGAAAGCCTTCTGACTGGCTTTGGAACCAGAAGGCCTGATGGCTCAGGGGGCATGGAGCCATAAAAGAGTTTGCATATAAAAGGATCATTATGCTCCTCCAACTGACTTTGTGTGGTTTTTTTAATCCCTGCTGGGTGGGGGTGGCTAGGAAGTGGGGGGGGAGGGGAGCTAGATGCTTTTTCTCTGTTCCCTAGTCACCAGCCCAAGCACCTGGAGCCATGTGTGTGAGTGTGTGTTGCTGTCGTTGTTGTTGTTTTTTCCCTGATTTTAGGTTATTTGGAAGATGAGTAGCTGGAGATAGAATTGACCAGGTTGCAAACTTGCCAGCTTTGAAAGGTCAAAGGGGTCATCAGAGATCTCAGAAACTAGAGCCAGTAACCCATTTAGTCAACTGGGGTCAGTCATAGTAGTAGCTGAGTGCAGTAAGGATCCAGCCTAGTTGAATAAAGAAAGACTAATTTATAGATAAAACCATGCCTGGAAGCAGATTTGGTTTGATATCCTGAAGTGAGAAAATGACTCCTAGGGCCACAAGTCAGGAGATACCCATCTCAAAAGGATTTTCCTCTTTTTGGAAGTTTGCTCCCAAAGATTTCTCCTCTTTTTGAATGAGCACAGACTTGATAGGGAAATGATAATAATAATAATAACAATAGCAGCAGCAATGATAATAGTAATAACAGGGCAGGGTATATACAGGGGTCTTTTATTGAGAGAATTCATGTCTTTGACTTAGAACATAGACGCATACTCACTTTACGTCTTCTTAATTTACATCCCAGAGCCCTAGTACTGAACAAGGCAAGGTCTTCTCTTACCTTATTGGGTTATCCATCCGTGACACTGTGAGAAAGGCAGCAAGGTTTGCTGTATAAGATGAGCAGACAATCAGGGTGAAAAGCCACCAGCTCCCCATGACAATGCGCATGGCCATGGAGTTCGTGGGTGATTCTCCACCTGAAAGAAGCAAAAAACAGTGAAGGGCTTGGTGGCTCCCTTCCTCAATGACCATGCATGGCTCACCACCGCCTTCATTGCCATCAATCACATTAGTAATCAATCATAGGTCTTGTTACTTGTTTCTCATTTTACCCTTATCAACGGAAAAAGGACAGTCATGAATCCATGGAAGCCAATGAGAATTCAGGGATTCACTGTGAAGGCCCCAAGACACAGTCATGCTAGTATCAACTGCCAAGTAACACAAAATTTATGAAAACTTAAAGCAGACTGCCTTGGATTTTTAAAAATGATTTCATTGGTAATCTTATGCATTATTCCTCTGTGGCACAAAACCTCCAAAGGCCGCAAGCTATGATTTGGGATGTTTCCAATTTCCAATTTACATTTCATATTCAAGAAAAATGTATAAATATGATATTAACTCCCACCCATGAATCCATGTGCTTTTTCTTTTCAACCTTCAAAAAACATGATGGTATAATGTGCCATGCCATGTTTTTTATTAATATCCTGGCTTCCCTTGATGAATCTTTTTAGAATGTTCTGGAACTATTATGTTTGACTTTTAGTCAAAGGCTGCCCCTATGAGTTCAATTATTTCTCCCAGGTCCCTTAGGTGGTTGCTTAAGAAGGCTCTCAGGGGCACATTGCCTTTCTCCGGCCCACCGGGTCTCTGCTGAGGCAAGAATCAGAGCCAAAAATCATATTAGGAGCTGTGTGAATTTGTAGTTTCCAGCCAAAATTTGATAATTCCATAACATCACTGAACACTACCCAAAAAGCTCTGAAAACGCATGAGCTTTAAATGTCTCAGGAATACTTGGGCTCTGTTTGGATTCTTGCTAAATAATCTCAATGTTTTTCCCTCAACATTAATATTTTTGAATTAAGCAGAAAGTCAGCTTTTATTTTACAGCATTCTGTGTAAAATGATCCATCCAAGGTAAAATCAAATAAAAAATAAGAGGAAACCCGAACTTCCCAAGTTAATTTTAATTAAAGTGAAGAAGCAGAATGTAAAGACAGGCCTAGTATAATTTCATTCATTTCCAGACATCACTGAGATTGAAATAATTCTATGGGTCCTTAGAAATGATCAGGAGCAGGATAAATTATTTTAAAATTTTCTTTGTTTGTTTGTTTGTTTTTAAATGAGGCTTTGGGCACTTACCAAAGGTCTCCAAGGGCCATAAGGAAGGGGAAATGAACAAGGATCTACAACATACCTTGCTGTACAAAGGCTCCATAGACAATCCATATGGCACTGTGAAGGGTGGAGGATGCTGATGGACTAGACTGTGAAGAGTTCTGCAACCTGACGGCCTGTATTCTGTTCAGTACAAATATCAAGACACCAACCACAGGGATGGCTGCTGCAATGCAGGCCCAAACAGCGAAGTCAAAAGGAGCAAAGAGAGAGAAAATGTTGATTTTCTCTTCTGGCTTCTTGATGAGAATCCCCACTGAATAATCCATGTACCGTTTGCTGAAGTCTACGACACTCTCCCGCTCTGGTGTAATGGTGATGGCTGAGATTGCCATGTCTGCTCTCTGAAACATAAAGTCAACCAGTTAAATATCTTCTCTATTCCTGAAGGTTCCTGTGGTTCATGGAAAGAAAGGGGTGCTATATATATATATGTATATGTGTGTGTATGTATGCATGCTTGTATATGTGCATGTATGTATGCATACATATGCATACGTATATGTGTGTGTTATATATAGTACATATGTGTATATATCTATATTTATATGTGTGTGTATATCTATCTATCTATCTATCTATCTATCTATCTATCTATGTTATACATATGTGTTATGTAAAGGGAAGAGGCCCACAATCCATCATCAGAGCCTCCTGTGTTCCAAGATGTATTTGTTCTGTATTGTTTTGTTCACAATTTACGCCCCCCACACACTCCTATAGGTACCTGGCTTCCACTAAACCATCCTTGTTCTCCCTTTTTCCTTTGAGACCCTGGGTATACATTGTGAAACTGATGGCTATAGTTAGGGTTATGATCTGTCACTGGAACTACACAAAGGGTCAAATCCTTGACCATAATATGATTAATACGATTCTCTACTGTTCAGTCTGCCACATCCCTTATATATTGCAAATTAATCATTTCTGGGGAAAATCTCAATACCAGAGTTGCCTGTATACAAGTCAACTTGGTCTTTCTCTCACCTTTCCAACCTTCTCATTCCTTTGGAAACACTTTTTCTTTTTTTAAATAAAACCCCAGTTTTGGTTCGCAGGCTCTCAGACTTGAAAAAGACTTCAGAGGTAGGACAGCACAACCTATAAAGCAATGAAAACCCCCCTCCACAACATCTCAGATAAAATGTCACCTAGTCTTCTCTGGAGGACTTCTGCTGAGTGGAGAGCTCACTACCTCACCAGGTAGACAATAACAATCACAGTTTGGGGTATTCTCTTTGCACGGTTTCCATTTAACTCCGCTACAGGCTTATTTTTTTCCAGTATCCATTTTGTTTGCCTCTGAAAAAAACATTTACCCTTTCCTGTTTGCCTTTGATCTTCCAGTGAATCCAGAAGACCTGGATTAAGACCCTGCCTCAAATTCTTTTAGAATAGGATGGTCACCTTGGATGAATCACTTAAGCTGTGAGAATCAGTTTTCTTCATCTTTATGATGGGTATAATAATAACTGTACTAACCTATACCCCAGAGTTATTAAAAAGAAAATCCTTTGTAAATTGCAAATAGCTAGATCAATGTATATAATTATTATCTCTTTCTATAGAAGGTTAAGACCATTAAGGAAAGACAGGCCTTTCTTTCTTTCTTTCTTTCTTTCTTTCTTTCTTTCTTTCTTTCTTTCTTTCTTTCTTTCTTCCTTCCTTCCTTCCTTCCTTCCTTTCCTCCTTTCCTCCTTTCCTCCTTTCTTTCTTTCTTTCTTTCTTTCTTTCTTTCTTTCTTTCTTTCTTCTTTCTTTCTTTCTTTCTTTCTTTCTTTCTTTCTTTCTTTCTTTCTTTCTTTCTTTCTTTCTTTCTTTCTTTCTTTCCTTCTTTCTTCTTTTTTCCCCTTTCTTCCCTGAACACAGTATAGTGCTTGAGAAACATTAAGTGCTTAAAGAATGTGTGTCAAAAATGATTTGCACAAATCTGTTTGCCTTATCTGCCCCTAGGGAGCCTTCTCTCCCTTAATAAGAGCAGCAACCTTGCAGGATTGCTGTGAAGATCAAATGAGATAGCATTTGTTAAAAGTACTTAGCACAGTGCCTGGCACATAGTAGGAACTATATAAATGCTTATTCTTTTCCCTCTTCCTTGAGGACTCTAACCGTAATGAACTTTCTGTCCTATAAACTCCTTCAGTACTTACTGTCTACACCCCACAATTATATGAGTAGGCAAAGAGACTCTGAATTTTGCCAGTGGAGCACTCCCAGGCTGTGAGTTCCCTCCTACATATCACAAACTATCTATGACCATTCATGAATCATGGGATCATAGACTAAAGTTGAAAGGAATATAAGAGATCATCAAATCCAATTTCTATTTTTACAGATGGGGAAACTGAAGATCAAAGAGGTTGATTAATCTGCTCAAGGTTAGCAAAATGAAAGAACAACAATTTCAATCCTGCCTTCTGACTCCAAATCCAGTGTTCTTTCAACTATCCCATACTTCCTTCTCAGGAGTTGTCTAAGGCATCAAAAGATCAGATCACTTGTTCAGAGCTGTATAATTAATAAGTGGCAAAACGTGGGATTGAACCCAGGAGTTCCTGATTCTAAGCCCAACACTCAATCCACTAAGTAACATGGCCTCCACACCTCCATTGCACACTTTCAAGTCACACTGATTAATTTCTTACTATGACCTAGTCTTGTTCACCACTTGAGGTGTCAATGACTGAAGGTCAGAGATTCTGCTTTCTCCTGTTATCTATAGCCTCTGGCAAAGCATGCAGCCCATTGTAGGTCTTCAACACTTAGGTACTACTTAAAAAGTCATCTTGGACAGTGATAGGCCAGTCCTGTGATTCTTCTTTCCAATACAGACTTCATGAGGGAAGGAGTGAGAGAAAGGCAGGTGATAAGATTTAGTGATGGAGAATTAAGCAAAAACATGGGGATGGAACTATGGAGACTAATACACTTTAGGCTCTTTTAGAATAGGAACAGAAACAAGCTGAAATACTTAACAGCTGATGTGACCCTGGTAGTAACCCTCTAGAGTCAGTGAACTAGGTCCTTCTGTCAGATAGAGGTCAATTGTTTGTCAAAAGATAAGAAGTTGGCCTCCTCTAAGTTGCATCTCAAACCTCCAGATTTGAAGGCTCATAATGCCCTGAAATGTTTTAGGATGCTCAATCCCAGGGGCACTCAGTGCCAGAATCAATAACTCAGTTCCACCTAAGAAATGGACCGACATTCATACCAGGACTCTCTCTTCGTTATTGACTGCACTAGAATGCTTGATAAACAAGGAACTGGATAAAATACATGAGTTTTGGCAGATTAGTGCATGTACCCTTCCAAATGACACTGGTGTATTTACAAGAATTTGATAATACTGTATTTCCACTTCTAAGCAGCACTTCTTGACAACAGAAGGCATACCGAGCTACTCTGTATTTGTAGTAAGGATTTTTCAGATACAAAGTTTTCCTAAGAACAGGAAAATAAGCTCTCTTTGACACCACATCCCACCCTGGATATTATGCTATTCTACAGACTTGTCATTATGGCCTGAATCTTCTGGTCTATCCCCAAATTAAGGTACCACACAAGGAGTTATGCTTTATATAGGGATAACTCTTCTATCACTGTGCTATCATTTTTCTATTACAGCCAATATAGGATACATCTGATTTGTGTTCTTCCTTTCTGACTCAATAAGGAATAGATTACAAATGTTGTACAAAGGTCCAAAGGGCCTCGTTTCTTCACTTCAATGCTCTTTTAGCAGACCCACCTTATTGATGAGTTCCCCAATCATCCCATTCCAGGAGGTGTTATGGAGCTGGTGACCATATTTGCCATCAGGAGCTTGATAAATCTCATACTTGAATCCTAAGGCCTTGGCCAAGGCATCCAGAACATCAATGGAAAAGCCTTTATAGCGCTTGGGCTGTCCAAGTATATTCTCTGCCACCATCACAAAAGGTTCTTCCTGAGAAAAATACAATGTTTAAGCTAATATTAAAGCCACTTATTTTCAAAGAATGTAATTGAGTAGCGAGGATGTTAATGCTTGCTAGTTTGGGACTGTGGTTACATAAGATATTAAAGGAGATTGGGTTTTAATATAATTTATGAATAATTATGAAAACAATAATGATTTATTATTTTGGGAATTATGTTGGACAGACCTCTGTCCAATAGCCATATTTTTGGATCTCTAGGATATTGGTGTAGGTGAAACCCAGTCCACAAACAATGGAATAATCATCTTTTAGTTCAGATCTTTGAGGTCTGTTCATTGTTGTCCTAAACATTTACCATCTAGGAAAACATACAGTGTTAGTCATGCCTCTGAGGTTCATTCATGTAGGACTAGAAGAATATATGTGTTTGTAGAGACATTCTATGTGCCTCCTGACAGAAAAGTGATGGGCTCAAGATCCAAAAAGAAAGATAAATTTTATATGTAAGTTTAAGTTTTCTGTGACTGTTCATATTTATTATAAAGATTTTTTTTTCCTTTTTTTTTTTTCAGTGTAGGGAAAAGGCAGACAAAATGAATGTGCTAATTGATAAAAAAAAAATTTTTAAATGTTTTGTATCATCCTTGGTTTATTCACAAATAGCAGTAACAACATGTTCTTTCTTATAATCTGACCTGACAGGTTACAGTGTTCACATAAGTGCTGAGTCTTCAGACTTGATATCTGTCTATAATTTTTAGTACTTCACTTAAGAAAGCCAAATGTTTCTCATAGGATTCAAAGTATGATAACTCATACTATGATGATTTAGAGAAAGAAGCAGTCTGTATACTAGGTTGTCTTGAGAAACAGATGTCAATTATTTCATTAAGATCACATTATAGGCCAATGAGAAGGTTAGAATTAAGATCTAGGATTTGGGACTCTGAGTATTAACCATAAATGTATATGCTTTTATTTTTCATAGTGCACTGTAAACTGTTTGGTTTTATGCGTAACTATATGGAATGCTAACATTTCTCATTATTCCCTTCTCATACATTCACCAAATCTGGTGTGGTCTGTCTGGGAATGAAACTTAAGGAACTGTTTCCATTAATAGAGTGTGCTTAGATAACTGGGTGTGGGAAGAGAGAGGGGAAACATCTAGGAGGGGGAGGAAAATGCTATTATCTTCACTATTACTATCAGAATTGAAGTAAAGGCATATCCAGAAAGAGGAAATTAGAGAGTAGAAATATGTCTGATATAGCTAGTATGGAGCCAAGTTTAGAAAAAGTCCTCTAGCTCCATCATTCAAGTCTCTCCCCTCCAAGGCAACATTATTAGTTTAACAAGGGGATAGGATGTTGGAAGGGGGAAAGACATTTAGCAATAGACAGCATGGAACTTTTGATTCCTGAACATGATCCTACCAAGACAGTCACCACTTTGAGTGTCAGTCCATGGAGGTGACTGCCTGTGTGCCTCTCCTGCAGGCTGCCATTCAGACCTTTCTCTGAGTCCCAAGTCGCCAGCTGTGGAGGAGAAAAGAATGAAGACTTAACGAAAAGAATGACCATTCCCATGTTCCATTAGTCCTTGCCTCTTCCCCTTCCCAACTCAGAGCAAACCTATGTCTATCCAATTAGGCAGCGGGGACAAGCCAGAAATGACCCATAGGATTCCTCATAGGCTTACAATAGATCTGTAACTAATGGCAGTGACCATAGCTTAGCCTCAGAATGCCAAATGTAGAGGGTACTAGTGGTACCTGCGTGTGTTCAGTCATATAGAAATGGTAGCTTTTGGCTCCCAGTTAGCAAGGATAATTTGTTAAATAGAAATCTGCTGAGTGGTAGGCTACAGTGAGTGCCTCTTCGTACCACTCTGCTTAACTCCCCCTCAGCTGAGGACCCATTTGTATCACTTTACTGATACTAGGATTGTAATGTATGTCGCAAGCACAAAAATTCCTAAGTATGTCTCAATGAGTTAAAGGATAAGAGAACTGTTTGCAAAAGATCAGAATTCCATTCAATTGTTCTATTGTACTGTGAGGAATAATTTCATCAATGAATTGAAATCCCTTATTAATTACATGTCAGTGGTACAAATGTGAATTCCTACATTCTTCCTACAAATGTCCCAGGCTACCTCACTACCTCAAATCACCTTTTTGTGCCTTCTTCTGCCACACTAGTATGTATCTCATCTCCTAGAAAAGGGGATAATAAAGTTCATCCCAAATCCCAGGGTGTCTGTCCATAGCAGACTTCATCACTATGCACAGAACAATTCAGAGAGAAGTTAATAATACATCTGGTATGGCATGGAACTCATAGGAAGACAGGATACATTCCCTCTAGAAGATTTCTTCGTAAAATCATAAGATATTTAGGGTTTTCTTATAAACCTGTAAAGGCCATCCCCAGGCAAACTTCTCCTCAGGATATTGGATGGCAGGATTTCTTTTGAAACAATCCCATTATTTGATGATTCTCAGTTCCAAGCACACTGATAAATGCTAGGGAGACAAAGAAATGCAAATACACTGTCCTTCACTGAGCCTTCTCTTGTCCCTGTTCCTGTCCCCTTTTTCCCTCTCTCTCTTTCCCTCTCTGTCCCTGAGTGACAGTGACTCAGCAGAGGGAAGAGATATTTGTGGCAAGGAAGTTAGCTATTTTACATCTCAGTAGTGCAGATTGGGATGGGAAACCTTGATGCAGACCATGACATTCGTTCTGGCTGCAAAGGGTCTGTGCTCTGATGCCCTCAGCTACACAGCATTTGATGTGGACAAAGAACCTGATTGCAGGAACCAATCTCAAAGGGGCTATTGGATTTTTCTTTCCCAGTGTTATCTCAATAAACTGTTAGTAGCTCCCTCATTATTCTAGACCAGAATTTTGGAAACGCTTTCGATCCAGAAAAGAAAAGCAATAAATCCAAAGTCTCAATTCTTTCGTCCCTCTTGTCAATGTTTCAGCTACTGATCAATACATGGTTTCTGGATGGTCTAGGAGTGGAGGAAGAAGGTGAGCACGACCAGGGAGACCTGAAGATAGGATCAAAGGTCAGAACTTCTCTGGGAGAAGTCTCAAATCAAGTCAATACCCCAGACGTCAAGGGCATGTTCAATATGGCAGAGCCTTAAATTATTTTTCCAGTAAAATTTCAATATTTAGCTAGTGCCACAGGGGATAGAAAACTGGGCCTAGAGTCAGGAAGGCCTGAGTTCAAATTTGGCCTCAGATACTCATTAGTTATGTGATTCTGGGAAAGTCACTTAACCTCTGTCTGCCTTAGTTTCTTCAAATATAAAATAAGGAAAACAATAATATCTGCTTTCAAGGGTTATTGTGGGGACAAAGTGAGATAATATTTTTAAAGCTCTTAACACAGTTCCTAGCACATAGTAGGTGCTATATAAATGCTTATCCTTTCCTGCTTCTCTTCCCTCAGCTTGATTCGGATTCCAGATTCTTAGAATATGAAGAGCATAGATTTGTAGGATTATAGAGGCAGGAATTGAAAGGACATCAGATGTTTTCTAATCCAATACCCTCCCTTCATGGAAGATGAAGCTCGGTGAGGTTCATTGACTTGCCCAAGTGGCAGAGACAAGTATCCATACCATCTCCTCTGACTTCAACTCTAGTGTTCCTTCTACTATTTCTCATATCACACTCCCCTAGTTCTTCTGATAAGAATACAAAGGAAGTAGAACTTCATCATAACTATGTAGGAGCAGAATTCTCCCTTAACTTTGCAATAAAAGGGAGCTAAAAAATGACCCAAAAGGATGCTTGGGGATCAACAATATACCACCTCTGACAACAAATGTTTGTGGACACATAGATACCCATGTAAATGCTTCTAAAGGCACCATACCGCATGGAGCACTGGACCTGGAGTCAAGAAGTCAGGATACAAATCTGGGCTCAGATACTTACTAGCTGTGTGACCCTGGGCAAGCCACTTAACCTCCATCTGCTACAATTTTATCATCTATAAAACGGTGATAAAAATAGCATCTACATCACAGGGCTGTTGGGAATATCAAATGAGATATTTGTAAAGTGCTTTACCAACCTTAAAATGCTAGGTATTGTTGTTACTGTTGTATATGTTTCTCTACATATAAATCCACATATGCACATATACATATATGTCGGTATTTCTATATGCATATGCAAGTATACCTACATTGCAGAATCACACACTTTTAGAGTTGGAAAAGAATTCAAAGGCCAGATAGTCCATGCCATACCTAAAAAGGAATCTCAACAAAAACACAACAAAAATATGTTCTAGCCTCCACTTGTAGACTTTCATGTGAGAAAATCTATTACTTTAAGGCAGCCCAACCTTCTTATGCCGAGATCTAATTGTTGGCACTGTTCTGTCTATGACATCAAACTTAATTTTTTTTTTCTCTTTACAACTTGCATCCATTTCCTCTGTTTCTGCCCTCTGGAGCCAGACTGATCAAGTCAAATCTGCTTTCAAAAACTTCAAAAGCACTACATAGTCCCTCCATATGTTTCCTCTTTTCCATGTTTGACCACCTCAGTTCCTTTAGCTCATCATCAAATGGCATGATGGATGTCCTCCTCTAGAAATTAAAACACCGATCAATGCTCTTTGCAGAAATGTGGTTCCTAAAAGAGACTGGGATTCTCTGGATGTAGTATCATCATTACAGAAGATGATTACTTCCCTAGTACTGGACATAAGCCATCATTTATGATGCCACAGATCACATTGGCCCTTATAATGGTCATATCTTCCTGTTGAGCCATTGGCTTTATAATAAACTTCACTAAAATCCCTAGAAGTGAGAAGGCTTGCACTGATAAAATCATGGCATTATTGAAATTACAAAACTCTACTCTATACATTTCATAGACCTCTCTCCAACTAAAAAATGCTTTCATTTACATTATCTCAGACCACTCTCAATACAACCCTGATTAAACAGATATTTATATAGGTGGTATAGAACTAGAGATGCATTCAAATATAAATATACATAGTACACATGCACACATACATATGTGTATATATACTCATATGAACATGCATACATATGCATGTACAAATACAAATGTGTACATGTATATGTAGGCATATAACAGCAAAATACTTAAATTTTATTGATAAGAAAAGCGAGGCTCAGAGAAGTCAAATAACTTGCATAAAGTCAAATAGCAAAACTAAGAGTTAATCATAGAGGGGAAGATGGCTAAATAATACAGGAAATAATGGGCTCTTCAAAATTATCCCACAAGCAAATTAAAATGTCACCTCAAAGTGAACTTTGAGTGCTGAAATAATTAAGTCTGGGTAAGGCAGTTGTGCTCCTAACAGGACTTAAGAGGATCTCAGAAAAGACTTGATCTCCCAGTGGCCTGATTGAAGTTCTGAATGCCTCTAGGCAGACTCTGCAGAATCAAAAAACAACAGCCTGGGGACAGCTGGGTTGGGAGCTAGGCTTTAAGCTTCAGGAACTTTCCCCCCATTGATAATGTGGGGGTCTGACAGCTGAGCAGGAGAAGATTGATGGCCCCTCTGCTGTCATAGCACCTGTGGTCCCAGGCTGTAGCAGTGGGTGAGGAGAAGCAAGCACACTCCTGGTGAATGTGGTAGCAGAGGAGTGGAAACCCTACTGGCTATGGGCATTTGCAGGAGAGCAGAGTCCTTGGTTTTGCTTTCAGGGTGGAGGGGGTGAACTGAGATTTGGAGCTGGGACAGACTGCAGGGAATAAGAACATTTGCAGTGGTGATAAAGATGGGGGCCCTAGTTATGGCTCAGGGATGGAGAGGAGTGCCTGAAGTTAGGACCACAGACAGACCTCGGGAAACAACAGCACAAAAAACCTGATGTCTGTGGCAACATCTCCCACACCTAGGGAGCACAACTTGACTATAATAATAAGCAACTGAAAAAACAACAATAATGTTTAAGCAAAGCAGAAAGAAACCAATCATAGACAGCTGCTATGGAGAGAGAGATCTGGGTTCATACTTAAAAGAAGAAAGGTGAGTTTAAAAAAGTTACTCCTACTTCAAAGAAAAATGTTAAATAGATAAGCCAAAAAAGAATTATTGAAAGAACTTAAAAGGGACTTTAAAAAAATCAAATAAGAGAAGTTGAGGAAATACTTTTTTAAATATTAGAAAAATATTAGAAAAAAGAACAATCCAAGAAAATCAAGAAAATTCTGAAAAGAAAGTCAACCAACTGGAAAAAAAAAGATTTCCAAAAAGCTAAGGAAGAAAATAACTCCTGAAAAACTAGAATTGGACAAAGGGAAGCTAATGGCATTATAAGTCACCAAGAAATAATAAAACAAAAACAAAAGAATGAAAAATAGAAGAGAAGGTGAAGCTTCTGGTTAGAAAAAAAACAATTGATCTGAAAAACAGATTAACGAGAAACAATATAAAACTGGTTGACATATCTGAAAGTTACCATTAAAAAAATCTAGATTTGCTATTACAAGAAATTACTGAGAAAAATTGCACTGAAGTT